ACCACCACAGAGTCAGAATAACATCTTTTTGGAGTTCATCACTCTTCAAACCCGGAAGAACTTGATCGCGACTCCACCGAACCTCCAAACCATCAAGACTTTCATCCGATACTGCATCCGGACGCTCGTTCAAGGCCAAGGCAATGCAAGTATCGTACATTTAACTAAACGAAACAGAGGTTTAGGATAAGCTGTAGACCCCGTTGTAAAACGGTGCTGATGGTGACTCATTTGACTCACTGACTCATTTTCAATAACTGCATTCTCTGGTTTCTCTAACAGTTTCAGTCATCCACTTCCAACCTCCCCATGAATGAGTGATTTGTATGTTTGTTTGTCTAGATTAGTTATGTGTTAGTGTTTAGTTAATAAAACTTTTGTGCACAAATTACATCTGTTTCTGGTTCTGTCACCGCTTGTATAGTGTCCCTTTTACGATCTGATCTATAGTTACATGCTCTAATGCATTACTGTAAGAAAGTTATTTTCTGTGGCCACGAAAATTTAATTCTGCTACAGTTACTACTGGCAGCTGAGGTAAATAATTGTAATTAATTATAATTAATTGTAATTATTTATATACATTTCCCTTTTGAGCTAATTTGCTACATATTATGGTAGAGAACGGTGGCATCGTTTTAAACATTATTTGCAAGCGGGCTCAGTGTCAGACTTGTGTGTTTGTCTCATGGGTTATTATTAACGTCTTACACATGCATACCAGCTTCTGATAAACTCCAATAAACTATAGCTTGAATGTGCCTTCCTAGAGCAGTAGGAATAACATGAGCAGTAGAAAGTTTTCAGTGCTATAATGTGTTTAAATCATATGATAAGAAACTAACCTGATTTTAGCAAAGAAATCCTAATTTCTGTTGCTAGTAGAGCGTAAGCCTTCTCTGACGAATAAATCTCAGATTAGCAGCCCATATAAATGGTACCAGAATAAATTAATCTGTTATTGGGAGAAATCCCCACTTTCAGTTTTAAATGCATATTTCTTCTCTGACGAAGAAATCTCAGATTAGCTGCATTAATTATTCTGTGTGGCGAAGAAATCCCACTGACAGTTATATTAAAACTGTGCGACGAAGAAAACGCGCTGCAGTATATTTACTTTTAATAGTGATTTGAGCAATGTTCCTCATCTCCCTAAATTAAGGCCTTCTTGTATATATCGCGTATCATTGTATTCATTACGGTGATGCAATTGAATAGCGAATTAATGGTGTAATTCTAGCCTAGCTAACTAGTAATTCGCCATTGTCTGTGACGTGAATGTGCTGTTTTGATTTGTGAATGAAGTTGTATGCGACACGTCATAACTGACTGGGCTTAAGTTTTCCATGCATATTTACAGCAGCGCAAGTTCTGCTCCACTTGCGCGTGTTGTAAGCATGCATCGGCCTCTTAGCGACGTCTGACCCCGGAAGTTGAGATCAGTCTCTTCCGGTTCAATCTGATAACAGCACAAACGTCACAGACCCTTGTGTAAACAAACAACTCAGTGTAGCCAAAGCTAACTCTTTAGCAGCCGTCCAGGCCTATAAGCTAAGCCCTTTACCTAGACCTTTAGCTGTTAGCATCTGACTAACACTTAAGATAGGTGTGAGTGTAAAGTGTGACGTTTGAACGACTCCTCTCTCTCCCCTCACTCTTTTTTTCACTTCCTGTTTGTGCTATCAACTTCTGTCTAGACTTAATTAGGTCAGTCCCTCCCCACATACTTGGGTTTTATTTGTGTTATTTTTATTTTGACTTTATTCCACCTCTCTTTAATTTTATTTCATTTATTTACCTTTGTTTAGCTTGAATGTACCAATTCAGCTAAGTTGATTTTAATTAAATCTGGCATCTAATTAAATCAATTGGTTTATTTACTCTCCCTTTTAGTTTCCTAAAGCTATTTGGACATTTTCATTTTACTTTTACCTTGTGACAACTGCTTAGTCATATCTCCTAGCTTAAACTAAATAAGGAAAGCCCTTCCTTCTCCCTCTGTCTCTTTCTGATTTTATTTCAGTTTTGTTTTATCTGATACCTTCATAGTGACCAAACCTGTGAACCATCAGTGCTTTGAGTAATAGTTTGACCACATGTAGAGCCCGGCCATTAGCTGACCCCTGCTTACAGCCCCATCAATAAAGTTACTCAAACTCTCTCTTTGTGTTCACGAACACAAAAACATAGCACCCTACCTCACTAGCTGCCCCTCACCAGCGATTCACACCTTACACAGCCTACACAGCCGTTCCCATTACAGATAGCTTAACGCCTCTGTATGTACTTGCATTTGCCTTCTGCCTCTCTCTCTCTGGTGTTCCCACAAGTGTTCCAAAGACATCCAGCCCTGCCAGCTCACCAGGACCACCTGGAAACCCAGCAGAGCACTGTGATGGACATCCTTCAGCTCAAAGCAGCCAACGACCTGCAATGGCAGAGAAAGGAACAGCGAGACTGCGACACAAGTGGACACCTGACACCCAGCCTGAACCACCAGGA